CACCACTCTCCTCTACAAGCCAATCTGACTACCATGGCCACCTTTTCTCATCTGCGTGGCTATATTTAAAGTATGTATTATTGTAAATAGAGATGTACAGAGAGAAAAGCTATGGGATATATGCTAATCAGAAACAGAAATATATAACTTCTTAGAGGGTCAGAGCGGATCTTTTAGAAGTAGAAACACTGTTTAAACTCACTCAGTGGGTCTGGGTCACATCGACTGAATGTGAATCAGTATTGATGTTTTAAATGTGAAATGATTTTTATTTTAGCATAGTAAGTTATTTTTAAATTATTAAGCATTGCTTGTTATTTAATATAGAAAACAAGCCTGTTTTCAGTTTATTTGGGAGATAAATACAGGTGAAAACCTGTAACTTTAATCAAATGTGTTTCATTTAAGGAACTTAATGTTTTTTTTTCTTTTCGATTTAGTGAAAATTTAATTATTAATTTACATTCTTAAATGTAATTTGTTCAATGTGAAATAAACGAATATTACTCTTATTGCAAAGCTCTTATTTTTTCTGAATGCAAGATTGGGAGATGTGAAAACCTCCAATGGTGTTAGAATTTTCAATTTAAACCAAGTTAGAGGAATGAAAGCAAGGTTTAAGAAGATTTAACAGAAAATGTTGCTTTATTTGACATAAACATTACATATGAGTTACCTAACTACATCACTGCTATGAGAGAGGGAAAAGGGCTGATAGAGCTCTGTAACTCAGGGTTATAATAGAAAATATTTAGAATAAAACAGGAAGTAACATTACAGCAGGAAGTTACATCACAACAGGAAGTTACAAGTTTTCTTAAAAAGGTACTAAGCTCTGTCTATTTTCATACAGCTTGTAGCTGCTCTCTCGGTGCCTTCCCCTCCCCCGTGCTCCTTTGTTTTTTCCTTGATGGGGCATGGCATTTTTCTGAAGTAAAGCCACATTTTCTTTTTTATCTTCATAAACTTTGCTTCCAGAGTCTTCTGTAATGAGTCTGACACATATTTCAATAACATGATCTGGAGAAAAAGAGGAGAACGTATTTCCGGTTTGTGATGCATTTCCTTTTCTATCTCAGACATCAAACAGAAAATACCATTTACAGAAAGTAACATTTAAAAAAAGTTCAATTACAATGTGAAAACAATTACCTTTATCAAGATAAAAAGTTATGTTTCTGAAAGCGTTCTTTGTGTACATTACTGTACTTGAGGCTTACAAGAAGGGATTAACACCTCTGCTTCTGATAATCCGTTTTATTAATTTAATGTTTGATGGTGGCCAGTAGGTGAAATGAGTATCTATTAAACCATAGGAATGGGGTTGATACAGTTATAACTAAAATGCCTTCCCCAAGCCTTGATTAGTTGACTGTGATTGATGAGCTAATGAAACTGTCATTAGTTTCTAAAGATTGCCCATCTGTAAAGGTTGAACTTAAATAGCAAGCTGGCTAACATGCTAACATTTCATAAATGCCCAAATAACTTTAAGCATGGTCACCTGTTGTAAGTAAACACACTTACTGCTCTACTTAACTCATAATTAGAAGTGATCCCTCTCAGTCGTCACTGAGAAATTGCTACTGTAATTACACATGGATATAAAGGCTTGTGTAAATAAAAGCGTTAATCTGTTCTAGAACATTAACACAGATGATGGATGTTGTATAAACTCATTTAATGCCAATTATATTGAATAGACAGGTCAGTCTGCATTTTAGGCCGAGGTCAAATATTAAAATAACAGTTTAAAAACTGGATTGATTCATTCTGTAGTTATGATGCAAAATTCCTTTCTACATGAATGAGCAATTAATCTTTGTCTTGTTTAATCTCTTTTTGTTTCTCAGCCAAATAATGTGTGGACGTATATACATCAAAAAGAATAAAAATGTAATTGTGTTTGTGTGTACTTACGCTCCACTTTTAAATATTGTTCAAATATAATTTGAACTAATTATTTAAAATACATTAATTTTATGCGTTTATTTGTTGACTATAACAAAATAACAAAATGACTAGTAACAAAAAAAAAATCCTTAAAGACCATCCTAACTACAATCTTTGGCAAGACCTTCAAACCAATCCAAGGATAGTATAGTGGTAGCGCTGCTGTCCTTCACATGGGAGACTGGGGTTCGAATCTTGGTTGGGACATACGACAACATGAATGCTATGGCAAGCATTTTGGTTTCGTTTAAAAATGGTCATTCATATATGTATAGTGGCAATATATCTATAGTGTGGTCGAATATACCATACGTAGGATAGTACAGTGGTAATGCTGCTGTCCTTCACATGGGAGACCGAGGTTCGAATCCTACGACATGACAACACAAATGCTATGGCAAGGGGGAGCCATAGGTGAGTGGGCAGGGGGCAGGGGGCAGTGTGCAGGGGCAAGGGCAGTGGGGAGGGGGCAGGCCTATATGAATATAATTATTAATATAATTATTAAAATAATTATTAAGCAACAATAAAATGCTTGCCACAGCATTCGTGTTATCGTATGTCTCAACCAGGATTCGAACCCCGGTCTCCCATGTGAAGGACGACAGCAAAACAACTGCACTATATCCTACATTTAGAAAATCCTGCCATACTATACATATATTACTACTATATGTATGACCATTTTTAAACGACAACAAAATGCTTACCATAGCATTCATGTTGTTGTATGCCTCATCCAGGATTCGAACCCCGGTCTCCCATGTGAAGGATGGCAGCATTACCACTATACTATATCCCACCATACTATAGATATATTACCACTATACATGTATGTATGACCATTTTTAAATGACCATTTTAAACGACAACAAAATGCTTACCATAGCATTCATGTTGTCGTATGCCTCATCCAGGATTCGAACCCCGGTCTCCCACGTGAAGGATGGCAGCATTACCACTATACTATATCCTACATATAGTATATCCCACCATACTATACATATATTACCACTATACATATATGTATGACCATTTTTTAACGACAACAAAATGCTTACCATAGCATTCATGTTGTCGTATGCCCCAAACAGGATTCGAACCCTGGTCTCCCATGTGAAGGATGGCAGCATTACCACTATACTATATCCCACATATAATATATCCCACCATACTATAGATATATTGCCACTATACATATATGTATGACCATTTTTAAACGACAACAAAATGCTTACCATAGCATGCATGTTATTGTATGCCCCAAACAGGATTCGAATCCAGGTCTTCCATGTGAAGGATGGCAGCATTACCACTGTACTATATCTTACATATAGTATATCCCATCACACTATAGATATATTCCCACTATACATATATGTATGACCATTTTTAAACATTTTATGCTTTTATTTATTGACTATAAAGGCAGCAGTAACAAAAAAAATCCTTAAAGACAATCCTAACAACAATCTTTGCCAAGACATCCAAACCAATCCAAGGATAGTATAGTGGTAGCGCTGCTGTCCTTCACATGGGAGACTGGGGTTCGAATCTTGGTTGGGACAAATGACAACACGAATGCTATGGCAAGCATTTTGGTTTCGTATAAAAATGGTCATTCATATATGTATAGTGGGAATATATGTATAGTATGGTGGGATATACCATAGGTAGGATAGTACAGTGGTAATGCTGCTGTCCTTCACATGGGAGACTGAGGTTCGAATCCTACGACATGACAACACAAATGCTATGGCAAGGGGGAGCCATAGGTGAGTGGGCAGGGGGCAGGGGGCAGGGGGCAGGGGCAATGGCAGTGGGCAGGGGGCAGGCCTATATGAATATAATTATTAAAATAATTATTAAGCAACAATAAAATGCTTGCCACAGCATTCGTGTTATCGTATGTCTCAACCAGGATTCGAACCCCGGTCTCCCATGTGAAGGACGACAGCAAAACAACTGCACTATATCCTACATTTAGAAAATCCTACATATAGTATATCCCACCATACTATAACTATATATTACCACTATACTTATATGTATGACCATTTTTAAACGATACCAAAATGCTTACCATAGCATTCATGTTGTCGTATGCCCCAAACAGGATTCGAACCCTGGTCTCCCATGTGAAGGATGGCAGCATTACCACTATACTATATCCCACATATAATATATTCCACCATACTATAGATATATTGCCACTATACTCATATGTATGACCATTTTTAAACGACAACAAAATGCTTGCCATAGCATTCATGTTGTCGTATGCCCCAAACAGGATTCGAACCCTGGTCTCCCATGTGAAGGATGGCAGCATTACCACTATACTATATCCTACATATAGTATATCCTACCACACTATAGATATATTGCCACTATACATATATGTATGACCATTTTTAAACGACAACAAAATGCTTACCATAGCATTCATGTTTTCGTATGCCTCATCCAGGATTCGAACCCCGGTCTCCCATGTGAAGGATGGCAGCATTACCACTATACTATATCCTACATATAATATATCCTACCATACTATAGATATATTTCCACTATACATATATGTATGACCATTTTAAACGACAACAAAATGCTTGCCATAGCATTCATGTTGTCGTATGCCCCAAACAGGATTCGAACCCTGGTCTCCCATGTGAAGGATGGCAGCATTACCACTATACTATATCCCACATATAGTATATCCCACCATACTATAGATATATTGCCACTATACATATATGAATGACCATTTTTAAACGACAACAAAATGCTTACCATAGCATGCATGTTATTGTATGCCCCAAACAGGATTCGAATCCCGGTCTTCCATGTGAAGGATGGCAGCATTACCACTGTACTATATCTTACATATAGTATATCCCATCACACTATAGATATATTATCACTACACATATATGTATGACCATTTTTAAACGACAACAAAATAGATGTTCGAACTATACAATTACATAATTGGTATTTTGGTCAAAATTGATTATTATGTAATGTTTTAGTAAAGTGGTAACATTATATGTAGGATAGTATAGTGGTGACACTGCCGCCCTTTACACGGAAGACCAGGGTTCAAATCCCGGTCAGAGAGATTTTATATATAAATACATTCCTTGTTGTAGAATTGGCTATACATTCAGCTAAATAAAATCTATAATACTGTCATTTTCAAAGATTTTATTCATATTTAGACAGTTGCATTGCATGAGATCATGCTGTGGTCTTTTGCTTGATCACTGCATTCAAAAGAAGTTTGCAAGGAGATTTGGATATTACAGCATCACAGTTATCCCTCCCTTAAAACGAAAGGGAAAGTGTAGGAATTATAAACCTTCCATTATTAACTATTATGGTAATCATGTAATTGATGTCTTCAGTTTCTCTAGATCAGAAACAATAAAAAGACGTCAGCAGAAAGGATCAACAAGAATGTCTGGATTCCAAAGCATTCAAACCTTTTGTTCTTGTGAGGTTTTGCCATTTTAGGTCAGGATTCAAATTGGAAGCCAAGGACATGATGTGCTTGGACTCGTTTAAAGGAAAGGTTTTGTTCAAATCTAGTCCAGAGATGAACTGGTTTTCTAAACTTCAAATTAAAATGCATATGTGTCAATAATGTCAATCTCAGAAAACTTTTTCTTCTGAGTCAAATTTATTTTCCAACCTGAATTCTTTTAATGGAATAAATTTACGTGTGGTGCACACTATAATGAAAAATAGCACTTTTGTCTTCCATGATTCTTCATTTTTAGGTCCTCTATTTGGCCTCTTTTTGCAAATACTGCATTGATTTGTCTTGCAAAGCGTTCAGGCAGATTTTTAGCCGTTCACCTGGATAAGCATTATTACAGATGAACACATGACCTGATTAACTTCACAAAAACACCCAGGTTACTCTGTCTGCAGGGTTCGATACAGTTGCACTCAGTTGGTTTTAGTCTCACCATTCTACTTCTTCTCCTGTCACTTCTGGTGTCCCTCAGGGATCTGTCCTTGGCCCTATTCTCTTCCTCTTCTACTTTCTTCCACTAGGTCACAATCTGAAAACTTGGTAATAATGTCCATTGTTATGTAGATGACGCTGAAATATATATTTCTCCTAAACCCACCCTTCATCCCATCATCTCTAACAGGATTTTCAAATGATCTCACGAAACTTAATGGTGTCAAATTCTAAAGTTTTTTTTTTTTTTTTTTCGAAATTTACCATCTAGCTAGAAGTCCTGGATTCAATCAAAGTCAATGGAATTTCTCATTAATTCATGTTTTAAAATTTCTGTTTAAGGAAGCGTATCCTCAATAGTTAAGTTTTTAAACCTCAAAACCTGATTTATACGTCAAAATTTGGTTTATTAGCGTGTTGGTGTTTGATTGCTATTTTGTGTGGCCTTGGGTGTCTTGAAAAACACCACAAATGAAATAAATTATGTATTATTATTATTAAATGTGGCAAAAGTACTTGCAGTCTTGTTTACAAATACACTAGCAAGTTGTTTACAAATACACCCATCAACTCCGAATTTTACATGCCAGGTGTTTCAGTTTCATTGTCCAAATTTTGCTCTTTGGGATACTTTCAATTCCTTTATATTGTGTTTATTACGTTCACCTGCAGGAGACGCTATCATCATCTTTATCAAGTTAAAGGAGGCTTTAGGAGGAGTATTTAGAGGATATGACTGATTTAACAAAAAAAAAGGATCTTTTGGTCTATATTTAAATACCTTGCAGCGTATACAAGTAATTTGATTAATGTTTGAGTTTCCACTTCATGTTAAAATGGCAGGAACGTCTTTATCTTTGTGTTTAGGCTCTCACCCATGAAAAACATCTTCCTTAGGGTGGTGCTTTTTTGTGATAAATTTGACTCATTGATGCAAGTATGCTAAAAATGCAACACAATATATGCACCTTACACCATTTTAAAATATATTTCCATATATACTATGCATAATATGTGTAAAAAGATTGCATTTGTCCAGATGAATAACCTCAGTAACTTGTTTGGGCACTCTGTTGTGTCACCCAGCATAAAACTAGATCACAAGATATCAATTTATCGCATAAAGATAAAGCATTTGTGAATAATGTATAAACAGCATCTGTAACATTCCAAAGCAGGGTGAATGTACACTAGGAGTTCCGATTATAAAAGGTGGAGGAGAAGCCGTTTATTGAAAAGACTGAAAGATGAATCGATATTATCCCATAACAAAAGATGCAGGCGAGGCATAAGTATTAGACATCACAAACTCGTAGCCTAGCAACAAGCTCTGACTAATCTAACTCTCACTGACAAACTTTCTTCTAATCTCATTTCATATTGCTCGATTGAATGCATGATTTCTGTTTATGTATTTGTTCAATCGAACATAATTATTTATACCTAGAAAGCCAGACACACCCTATAAAAATAGATAATACAGGAAAAATTTAATTCCAAACAGTATTTCTAAAAATGAGTATTGGGGCTATTGGCACCTCCTTTTAGACCATTCAAGCTACAGCCACCAAACCTTGCTGTGACATCCAAACTGGTCTGGGATTGATATATCTTTTCAGACTGGTACCACTATAGGATTTTTTGCTGAGAATTCTGGGAAATGAATTTGAGAACCTCAAAGAAATTTGAAACTAACCACACCTGACCAGTCAGTGGTCAGTATGGGGTTTGGTTTATGTTCCTCACAAAAACATTGGGACGTTAAGTTGTCACTGACTTCTCCATAGTAACCATACTGTTTATCATTGCAACCAAATTATCATATCCTAATGCTAGACCTGAGGGTTTGGTTTATGTTACTCGTATTGCCACAGGGAAGGCTATATTTTGTCATCGACTCCTCTTCAGTCAGCAAAGCCCCCTCCAACCTCTCAGAGCAGCAAAGCTCGCCATTTATTGAGGTTTTTCGTGTAACTCTTCTTAAATCACACTTCTGTCCACCACATATAATGCGATATACAGATATAGCCACCACAAATTCAAGACATGTTGTCATTAATATAATTTTAAAACTGAAATAAAATAAATAGCTAGTTAATGTGTCATTATTTGTCTTTTAAAACCAACTAAACACAATAGGCTCCTATTAGACTCTGATTTTTTTACTGTATACAGGGGCGTACAAGAAGTGATTGGGACCTCACGACCAGCTCCTGATCATCAATTTCAGAATTACATTTTCTCTGTAGGCCAGTTTGTGAAGTAGGTATCTTTTAAACGATAGGAATGGGGTTGATAATAACCGAAAGAGGCATTATAGCATCCTTAACAGCTCTTATTTTCAGACTCAATGTCTCTTCCTTCGCAATAATAGGCACAATAGACTCACAGAAGAGGGGGGAAGGAGACCCCTACATAACATTTTACGTAATAATAGCAGCTAAAGTGATTTTAGCAATTTAATTGAACGTAGAAATTGATTTTTAAAAGATTTTTTGTCATGAAATCTGTGTAGAGCTTATTGACTGAGGTTGAAAATAGACCTCAACAGTTCAATCCAAAACTGAGTGCAGCTGAATTTGGTCTGAGGCTGATATTTAAGTGTTTTGTAATAATGTGCACAAAATAGCCTATATGTAAAAAAAAACACCTCCACTTTCACCTCTTTCGGACTGATCGAAAAGCATCACATGACCACTCTTTCACAGGCATGACAAAGTCCTGACCCGAGCTCATGTAAAAAGAAAAAATACGGGAACATCAGAACCTCATGACGCCACAGGAATAATGCAAAAGATGAATGAATTTGAATCCATTTATTATATCAGTTTACAGGACGACAGGAATAAACAAACCATATTCTGTGATGGTAACATGGCCATCTAATATATCATCAGAGAACACATGCTGCCTTCAGGACAAACGAACAAAACCAGGCTCTTTCTCTGCACCTCTCTCCTTTCCTGTTTGTGCCCGTGCACACAAAGCCTGGTTTCCCAGGTGTGCTCAGGTTACCGGCTCGCTTCTGTTCACAGACATTCCTCAAGCAAAGAGAGAGAGACCCCTCAGTCTGAGGATCAAGCTTGCCAAGAACCAAAGATCAACGGCGGATCTGGCACGAAGCCAGACGCCTGCGGGAACAGAACATCTACATTAATCCCAGCATGCATTATGATGACCTACTCGATACATAGAGTATCATCAGCGATATTTCTTTCTCTATGGAAGGCAGGACCAGATAAATCTTCCAGCCAGACACAGATCTAGTCTGAGAAATGCCTTACGCATAAACCGCAGGTATGACTCTGCACTGTGCAGCTGTTGCTCAGAAATGTCATATGTGACTATTATGAGTCATATAGTAACAGTCCACAAAGAAACTAACATTGAAAAGTGAACTGGTTTGGAAGGGAGGGATGTGAGTGAGACTCCAACATTCCTCTCTATTGCTTCATCCACCCAGATATTGGTATTACTAATGATGTATAGTCCACGAATGAAGAAAAGAACAAAAAGATGAATTTTGTATCATCTATTTAAATTCACTAGTTTCCCATAACGATATCCTTGAGATACAAGGCGTATTTAACAAGAATGGAATGCATACCAGACTAGGTGCCCGAGAAAGTGGGCATGAAGCAACCTCTGCACACCAATCAGTAATTTCAGTCCGAAATTTCGTGCGACAACGCACCTTGATCGAAAACCATGGGCGCCAATGGGAGCTTTCACATCTGAACGAGTTTCAGATTGGGTTTTCGACCAGATTGAACCTCATCACTGTATAGTCCAAATAATAAAAAGTCTATAAATAAGTTTCAGAAGTAACAAACAAACCAGTACCATTTTCAAACCAACGATGTCTCTATTACTCTTAGATTGGTCAAATTTAAGTTGATTTTTATCAAATTCCGGGCATAAACTTGTCAAGCCTCAAAAAGTAAAATGGATGGGCACGGATCGATCCATCCAGTCTTAATCCGTCCTGAGAACAATGAGATGTACTGGGGAGAATGCTAGCTTTTACTACCTCGTCAGCTGGTGCTCTATGTCTTCATCCCTGATAATGTGATCCATATCACATTATGATCAATATATAATAAACGTTTAATCTTCAGCCTTCACCACAAATACTGAAACATGTATTT